GATTTTTCATTGTTAGGAATAGCAATCCTGCATTTTGAGCTTGACATCACTGCTCCGTTTTTTAGGTGTTGGATTGGATTGGGATGATTTATTGTTTATTTACAATTTATATGCTTTAATGTTAGGTTTGGATGTTTGAAATTGGTTATATCATGTGCTTTACGGGGGGCAAATTTATCTTTTGGGAATTTGGATTTGATGCGGCAGGGGCACACCAGCATTTCGTCCTAGGTTAAAGGTATTTGTTAAGTGAGAAATGTTGAGTGAAGTAATAAAAGCATTTCGAAATTGTAGAATGTGATCTTTGATTAGATCCATAAGTAGCTCCCCATGTATTGGGAATTGGGTATAAACCAGGGTGCTTGTATGATTTTCCTAAGGCATTTGTTTTGTACCGTCTGAAGTTTCCTCTATTGATGAGGGTGCTGTATTTCGCCAGACAGGCAAGCGTATGTTAGGGTGGTAAAATGATTGATTTAAATATCATGAGCTGGCAATTCGATTTTAATGAGGATTTTCTATTTATTATTGGATATAGTTTTGACATTTTCCCCCCTAGCTTTTTTACTAATGCAAGGATATGCGGTTTCCATGTTAATCTTTTATCAAGTGTGCACCAAGATATATAATTGGGCCTATATTGCTAGCGATAACGAGCGGAGCACGAAAGAGAACCTTCTCCTACCGAAGCTCGGAATGGAATGTTGATTTTTTTTTTGTATTTTTATTTTTTTGACGTTGACGGTAGTTTGCGGCCCGCGCCGCGCCGGTGCAGCAGAGCGGCGCGAATGCACTTTCGCGGCCTCCCGCATTGCGTGTCGGCGGCACGGAGCACAGCACCCTCTCCGCACGCGAAGTGCTGCGCTCGCCTCGCGTCGCGCGCGAGTGAGAGGGAGAGGGAGAGGGTCAGGGGCCGTAACGATTTGCGGTTCGCTCCTCGCCGCTGCGGCGGAGCTCCCAGTCGCTCGTGCCTGGCGCCTGCCATGCCTCGCGCCATGCGACGGCGGAACTAGAAATAATTTTTTTGGAGAGGGAGTAATTTCAGTCAGGGTCCTCACCCCCACATAAATATTTTTGAAATAACAACAAATGTTAGTTCGGATGTTTAAGAAAATCTTTGTAATAGGTCATCAGGCTACCCCCGTTCCGCCCTATCCCCTGGAACTGTCACGGACTCTGAACAGGCAAATTTGTTTGAAAGTTACAAAATTAGCTTCTTCAAATCTCTCCAGTTTCAGCGATTTAAGTGCATTCGAAAAAGAAATTGCGAATTGTTCTATGTTTCGCTCTTTATTTTCGTATTATTTGTCCGAAATTTTGTAAAACCACCCGCTCGTATTTTTAGGCTGATGGATAAATTTATTCGAATTTACGATCTAAATGGTAATTGGATGTAAAGTAATTGTATTCCATATGTCTCTTGTTCCTGGTTGTTTTCCCCCCACTGCTTGATAACGGTGGGGCGTGTAATATGTCCAATTCTGTTTATCATTTTCTCCTCTTCATATAGATAAGAAGCAAAATTGGATAAAGGGAGATCGAGTCGGTACGTACGTGAGTTCTCCCACCTGTATGGTGGTTACGTTTTATTTTTGCATAGCGTGAAACACCTTGGCATAACACCGCGTTTGAGCCTCTGCGCAAGCGCCAACTCCAATTCGACGTGATAGCGAGTCGGTTTCTATTTCACCGGTTTTTGCAGGCGACTTAGTTCGCATGCTGAACGATAACTCGACAATGTTATAAGAGGGAGTTTTGACGCGGCGAAGTATTGTGGCAATCGGCATGAATATCGATATCAACAGCGACTGATGTCGAGAAAGAGGTTTTGTACAAACGTTTAGGTCATTATGGAAGAAGTTTCGAACTGTGCGCTACATCCCACAATGCCACTTCCTCTTAATTTCCATTTGTTCGACTAGAACTGCTCAGTAAATCGCTGATCTGAATATATATATATATATATATATATATATATATATATATATATATATATATATATATAATATAGATTCTATTAATACATATATTATTTAGAGATTAATACGCAAACAGATTACGCCAACAACTGTATGTTACATTGTGGAGATATACACTTCGCTACACATTCTACCGTCAGAACCGTTTGAACAAATTCAGTAAACACGACCGAGTGATCGACTACCATGCGATGTAAGTCTTTCGCTAAACCCTACACAATAGGGAGTTTGTGCCACCTCGAACGTTACAGCACTATCGATCTTGTGCGCATGCGCAGCTTCACATCACTTAAGTGCATCTGCGCATGCGCAGAAGATCGATAGCGCTGACGCTATGGCGTGCTCAAACTCTCTAATACTGCAATCACGTCAAGATAGATTTCGTGTTAGCGTATGTGCAGATGCTCAAAAAGCAGTGGATTGCGCCACGCTACTCTGTGCCAAATCTTCCTATGGAATTTGTTTTTTATTACAGCAGCAGGCTGTGCTTAGCGTACTTTCTGCCCCCACAGTTCGTACCTATGTACTTCCATTTAGGAGAACACGTAAAAAAACTGCTTTTAGACTGCACTGCTATAGGTCATGTGGTTGCTAAACGCGACGCTACGCAAATGCTCTATTGCAGAAGATGTGGCGTGTCGTCGCAGTGCGCGTGATGCCCTCCCCGCCCAGGCCTTTACGTTGAACCCGGAAATCCCCAGTCACGCCGAGAATCCGGATCTCGGCCGCTGCGGACCGTAAGCATTCGAAACGCGCGGAGGGTCCTCGCCTGCGTACGCTCAATAAATAGCGATTAGAGTCACGTCACGTGATGAAGCTTAACAGCACGTTTGACAGTAGGACTTCTCTAGGCCACAACGCGCATAAATCACCGCCTTGGGTTCACGTAAGTGGCCTGAGATCTCGCCTCTCGTGATTCTTAAAGAGCTACTATTTTCTTAAATTTTAGGTGGCGAGTTTATGACCTTTTGAACCGCATTTCCGCCTTATTTACTTCTGCTTCTTCCCAATTACTTCATTTTATTTTAAATCATGACTGTACAGTAAAATAACTTGTGATCCCGTCGTACAGAGTAACAAACTAATATGTTCTTTTTATTCCGAACTCTCATTAAGAAAAGAACCTTTCTATGTCTCAGGCCCTAATAAAATAACCCGTCCCCTCAAATACATACCACCATTCATCGTCGAGTCGGAGATGCGGAGAGATTGTTTCCTTGACTATTTTCACACTACACACATTACGCTGTATTGATTTCGAAATGTATGACTAAATATTGTTATGAACGTTCCCTTAAAATTGGCCCTAAAAGTATTTTTCTATTGTTAATGAACTGCGTCGAAAAATTGTTGCTTTGAGATTGAGTGGTTGATAATTTTTGCATGTATTAAGCGTTAATAAATGTTATACGAGTGGTTACGAGTATGTTTTATGTATGTATATAATGAAAAGAAATAATGTTCAAAAGATTTTTCCCCTCCAGGAATATGACGAATAAATGCTTTTGGACCATTTATTTTCAAGTATCCCCTATTTAACATTTCCTGGGAGGAGGTGAGGGGCTAAAACCAATCAACAATATTAAACTATGTGCATGTTCCTTGGTTGCGGCTTGAACAGGAAACGATGCCCCCGTCCACCACCAATGATACTCGCTCCATTGGCAGGTCGAAATTCGAACCTGCGAGTCTTCACGCCGTGGCGCGGAGACTGTACACACGTATTCCATATTCTATCCAAGCCACCTGAACCACTTCATTGTTTGCTGACTTACTAATTTTTCATTAAGCAGTTGCCTGATTCCAGCATTAGTTGCTGTTAAAACCATTCTAAACAATTTGAAGAATTTGCAAATCCAAAGATGTGGATCATAGGAAGTTACTCATAGATAAAAACAACGCTATTCTTATGCATTTCATTTTAATGAAAATTTAAATCTTCTAATAGTAACTCACGTTTGTATTTTTATATCATCTCGCCGTAAAATAGACGACAATTTTACAGCTTGAGACTGGAAGGTAATTTGCATCTTCATAAATATTGAATACCTTGGAGAATGCCCGTGAGACCATAACGAGGTATAGTAGACTGCATGTAAGTCATTGTGTCCATTAAGATGTATAAGTGTTTATGAATTTGAAAATTCATGAAGTTGATTGTTTTATAACTAGTGAAGACGTCTTGAGCTATCAGTATCGAACTTCAGCTTCAAACAAAAGCTGAAAATGCCTCTTCTAAATTTTATTACCGTTTCACATTATGTTGAGGAATTAGTTCGAAACGGTGCACTCGTGTTCGCCCTTGACTTCAACATACTCCCCATTCATCCCCATTCATAATGCGAATGTCTCGCTGCGTGGTTTGGAAGGCATCGACACGGAAGAAAAGTTCGCGCGGGAGCTACGAGGCCTGCGTTGCATCTGCGTATGCACCCATGCACACCCACGCCCGCAACTGCCGTTACATGTCAGTGATGACATGTACCTCTTCGAAACCATCCCGCCGATATCTCTTGTGTGACTCAGCATTCACTTTACCGTTGCAGCACGTCCCGATGCTTCGGAACAACGTGAGAAACAAAACTTGGCTCGCACCGCGCAGCATCCTGCAGAACAAAGCAAACGGAACCGCACCGAGTAAACACGTATACCAGCGATGTTACGCCTTTTAGTGTCAGCTGGTAAAGGCCGTTCGGGTGGTGTAACGGATTGCGTCGTTGGATTCGCTCCGTGAGATTATAGATTGGAGTTTTCGCGTGTGTACGTTTTCTCACGCGTCAGTGTGAACGTGGGGGTTATATTCTGGATTGGGAAGAATCTGATTATCTCTCGCCTCGTCTTTGCATTGGGTAGCTTAGTTTGTGTTCGTATTTTTTAAATATGCTTCGTTTGACATAGTACGTAATGTTTTTGTATTTCACTGTACAAGGCTGAGAATTTTCAATGTTGCCATATTTCAAAAGCTGTAAATTGATGACAAAATGCCCTCACTGTGAACTTCAGGAATTTTTTTTTGTATTTCATGTATTTTAGATGCACCGACGCTAGCTTTTTCAGTTAGAGATGGTAACGGATTTTTTCATTCTTAATTCTGAATATTATTTCCATTTAATAAGTTCATAGTGATGTGTGTTAATGACACCTTGGTCATGTTAAATACTTTTTTATCAGGATCATAGCAATCGATAGCACGTTTCAAGATAAAATTATATATATATATATATATATATATATATATATATATATACCCTGTATTTAAGCTTCTCGTCTCGCCCATGTAAGATTATGAATGGATCCGAACAACTAGTAAGACGTACGAAACTCGATATTCAGAAAGTGAAACTGGTTTTGAAGCCCTTGAATGGAAGTCCCTCACAAGCGTCCCTGCCTACAAGCGCATGGAATGCAAGTCGGTAAAAGCTGGTTACACCCTTACTTTTTCTGTTTATACTCCGCTTAATCAAGTCACCTCATGATTAAAAGGTGACGCGTGCAGTTTTGTAAGGAGAAGTAACGAAAGATTCTCGCGAGTACCACGATTCTGTTTGTTGCTTTGGAAATTTCCACCTGGATTGGGATCGAGTTTGCGGAGCTACTTGGTGAAGGGGTTGATTCACGCAACCGCACTGACGATTCTCACATAAAATAAGAGATTTTGAATCTTTAAGAGACCATACATTTTGTTGCAAGCTTTACCCGAGCTATTGATTTTTACTTTCGTAAATTTTCCACTGTTGCGGTATGATTTCCTATTTGAAATTATGTAAGAGCGTCTTCTTTAAAATTATATTTAGTGTAGGTATTTTACTGTCAATGCAGTCGAAATGCCAGGTTCAGAACAAATGAATTGTTTTTCTCTATATTAAAAAAAACAAACACAAAAAACACACCAAAAAAACAGCTCCTTCCATTTGCAAAGATTTCACAAAAGAAACGAAGATCGTCTCGTGTTCATGGGACAAATAATGACAACGGAATATGTTCTCGCCGCACTGAGGATGTGAGTATGCAACATGAACAACTATAGTCTAGGTGAGATTATTTTCGTCACTCTAAACGTAGCAAAAAATTGTAAAAGTATAACTTTATGGTCAACCATGGAAATAGTTAGTGCTGTTATCTTAATATTTAATTAAGTAGGGATTTACGTACCCACGAAAATTAATCCGGCAATGTGCCACGCACTGATAGCTGGCCAAGGTAGCGCTACAACCCATTTAACACATTACTTTCGGTCCATTTCTGTTCTAATTGGTAACTCGTTCGTGAGTTTACATACGATTACAAGTTTTCACCTCATCTTTTTTACGCCCGCTCAGACATCTCGTTAACGTAGTCAAGTCCACCTTATCCGTTTCTCACTTGTCATCACCATCTCCATTTCCACCCCCAACGACGCTATTGCCACCACATTTACCAATTCTCCCACATTCAACCCACTCCACCCCTCCGCGATCCTGCCCACCCTCCGCCACTACGCTCTTGCGACGCCGCTGTCCCCATCAGCGCGCATCGGTTGGGCTTGCTCGAAGGTAGCATTGTTGTAAAGCCTTGTAAAGCGATTATGACCGGGAGGGTAGGCTTCGAGTCTCGACGATGGCGGATTTTCGACACTACGTAGATAGCTAGATCGCATTTAACCGCTCTCTAGAGAAACATTTTAGTTGTCGGCTGCCCTGTAGTTATCCGTGGTTTCTCCGATCTATACCAGGCGATCTATACCCGGAGCAATATTGCAACAAACGGGCCACAGACCACACGCGGTCTTACCTTCCGCTTCCTTGTCCAATCCTGTCAGACACACTTACACATACTTACACTTAAATGCATAACACTAACACCTTTCGGGAGATCAGAGCTTGTCCCCATTGGGACAGTGCCTCACGCGCGGAGATGCATGACGGGGAATACCTGCAAAACTCGTCTGCAGGTCGGCGCCGGATCTTACTCCCGAACGAGGGAGAAACACCAGCACCTTCTGAGGAATAACGCACACTACTTTTACAGACCTAATGACCATAGCAGTTGATGCGCTCTGATACTCCAAACACGTGAATCTATCAGCGAGCGGCCTGGTGCGGTCGCCTTTGACACCTGCTCAGAGACCTTCGCTCGCTCTGCAGGGATCGCGACGCGGGTTCCTCACACCCCTTCATGCTGGAGTGGTGGCACATCTGTAGCAGCCGGGCCTCGCACCTCGCCGAATTGAAATGCGTTTCACTCTCAATGAAGACAGCGCCTCATGCGAATTTGGGTTGTTTTGCTGGCGGCAACAAAAGTTGCAGAGGTAAAGCTTTGTATTAGTATGTTTGTCCGCCAATTCTGTTTGAAGGAGCCACTCGCTCCACAGTTGTTCGTTTGTTTACATCTGGTTGTGATGTTTTCGTGGAACACCTCGGCAATAGAGAATTTCGTTACAGATTTTTGTTTGAACTGAAAATCAAGTTCTCTTTGGTGGAGGAATATACTCGTAATATTGACGGAACTTTGCCGGAGCGTTGATTCACCTGTGAATAAGTGTTTCGTGTTTGGATGGTTAGAAGTGATCTTTTCCGTTGTTTATGAATACCTTAAACACAAATCAGTGCAATATTATGTACTTAATATTTACAAGGAAATTAACATGTTATCATTTTTTAAGATTTGTATTTTCAAGGCTGGGTGAAGAAAATGTTCCTCAAAGTATTGTCTGCGCCAACTAGAGAAGATAAAAGAAAGCGTAAATACCATTGAGCAAAGAATTATTGTTTTGTCTAATATATTCAAAATTGAATTCATACGGTTCAGTTTTTGGATGTACACGTCCGTAATAAGTACCCTTTCTTTCATTTTTGGACCTCGAGATTTGAAGATCCTGAAATACAACATGTATCATTTGTTCAAAAAATCAATCACTGTTATGATACAAAACAGTAATTATAACGTTTTGAAACTGGTTGCTGTTTGTATTTTTGAATCAACTCTTCCTCGTTCCACTGAAACTACCAGAAACCTGGACATGTGGTAAGTTTACTTATTAAAAGGTATCGGATTATCATCTGCATATTTTTACTTTTCAAAATACTTTAGTAGGAAGTAGTTGTTATTGGTGATGATATAGAGTGGATAAAGACCAGAATGTATAAACTGGAGGTCAGTTTTGTTGAGTCTTCCACAGGTGGCGTCCCGTTCTCGCGGGGGAGTAAACATTTTGTTTTGAAACTCGTATTTAATAAACGAGGGCTCGGAAGCGCTTTCTGTTTTCGGCTATCGAGATCCAATATTGTGCATTTATTCAGATTGAAAATCGGAATTCGATATTATTACATATATTGCTCTGGAGCAAATTCGTTCGTCGGCGCGAAGGGAG